TTGTTAGCACAGCCATGCGTTGCTTTGAGCTCCCGTGACCAATCCACAGCTAATGAGGATTCAATGGACGTGCTCTGTCCCCGGTGTCCCGAGGCTGCGATGGGACACCGAGGCAACAGATTTCTCATATTTGTCAGCGATAGGACTAATCGCTGACGGCACAGAGAGGCGGTGCTCACAGCTCAATGCTCATCACATGTTCACCTTCTCATTGGTTAATGAGGAATAACCACGGCTGAGGATGAGGGTGTTGACCTGATGGTGGCGTCGGTGTTTATCCTGAGGGGGGGAGGGGAGGCGTGGGGCGATTATTAAAGTAAAAGACGGACGATGTGACGGATCCCGAAAGTGGAGCCAAAACACCTTAAATGCCCCCTGGTGGCTGGCTGCTGCGGCATCACCTCCTCCATGTTTGTGTATGGGGCATAGGAAAGAAAAGTAAATGTTAAAAAAAAACTTTTTACAAAATACCTAAAACATTTTGACCTGTCGTTGGTGCTAAATCTAAAAGACCCTGAAGTGATCTCCAGATTCATGAGGATTTATTTTTTACGTCCCAGTGTGCAGATCGATGAAGTTCTATTTTATCCTCAGACGCACTGAGATTTGAATCAGGACAGAAAGTGTTGAACCCATAATCTGATTATTATATATTATGATTCATCCGTTTCCAGATCCATGAAAAATGTGACGACTCGTCTCAGGAAACTTGAAGAAACTTTTTTTTAAAGATATTTGCAGGTCGGTGATGTCACTGACGTTTATTAAACATGACAAAAGTACAGTGAGTCCAAATGTAAGATTTCACAGAGCGTCAGTCAATAATCAGTAACACACACACACACACACACACACACACACACACACACACACACAGGGGCTTTATCCCAGGGCTTGTGCCTCCCTCTCCCTCAACACAGTGAGGTGATGTTTAATGGAAAGTTAATATGGCTTTAATGCTTGTCGCTTCGCTCCGACACTGAAGGCCTCCGCTAATCCACTCTGTTCCACAGCGCCTGGAAACAGATGCTCCGGCCGCGAGACAGAGAGCGAGAGAGGCGGAGAGCGAGAGAGCGAGAGAGCAAGCGCAAAGAGGAGAGAAAGAGTATTTGCTGGTGATTTACGATGCAAAGTACTGAATGAGAATATTGTTTACAATAAACCCTGATTAGCTCCTCGTCTCCATCACGGACGTATTTGACTTCTCTGTGTGTAAACTGTCAGATGACTGTAAATGTGTGTAAACCAGGTAGGATGGACACGGACGTTGTTCGGGAGGAGCCCAGAATATCTTCACTGAAGTATAGTTCAGCATACAAATACCTTTATTACTTCATATTAATATTCTGAATATCATAAAGGAATTCATTTACATTTTACTAAATTTAAACTTCTCTGTGCTCCAGTTTTCACTGCTCTGAAAAAACTACAAGTCGTTAAAACGAGTTTCATGGAGCAAACAAACCTCGGAACACGGAACACCTCTTCACGACCTCTTCACGACCTCTTCACGACCTCGGAAGCTCCCAGTTCCAGAGCTGCGATGTGTTTGCTGAACGTTTCTTCTTCTACATCCTCAGATAATCTACAGCAGTGGTCGGTAATAATTCTGATAATCCAGTTTTCACAGAGTCACTTCCTCTCTGGTCTACAGAGTAAAAAACCTAAACGTAGATTTAGTCGCTGCAACGCTTCATATTGAGCTAAATTACAGAGCTTTTATTTTTGAAAAGTTTGAACTTGATTGTGTCGGTTGTTCAGCAACGACTCTGAAATAGACGAAATGTAAAAAAAAAAAAACATCAGTCAAGAACTAAACACTAAAGAAAATCCAGTGCAGATAAACCAGGTAGGATGAGCAGTTTCAACACACACCAGGGACTCATCTGGTTTACATCAGTTGAGTCTCAGAGGTTTTTCCTCGAATACGTCTGAAGCCAATGTCTCCTCCTCTCTGTCCTTGTGTCTTCGCTGATGAGACACTGACAGGGACGTCAACGTTAGCGTCCCCAACTTCCCAAATCATCGACGACAAGTTGACCAGATCTAACGCAAACTAATGAATGAGCATATTTTAGAGGTTGTAGGGAATAAAAAAAAAATCTGTTTCATTCAGACTTAAAAGTCGGAATCTTAATAACACAACAACACATCCCCCGAAATAAAATGACTGTCCAATCATGTTTCTCTTAGTTTTACAGAAACAACTGAAACTTTTACTGAATTTAATGCTGAACTTTTTGTTGCCTGTATAAAAGACAGTTTAAATTTTAAGTTAGATGCAGGACTGAGCTTCTCGTGAGAATAATAATCAGCGCCATTTTGAAAACACTTAAACCGACTGCGGTGACGTTCATCCGTCTCGAGCTTTCATTGACGAGTGTTTTCTCGTTTTGGTCGTTTTGTTGAATGTGTTTTGTTGAATGTTCGTTAAGACCCGGAGGCTCAGAGCTTTGACATGAGTCTTAACTCGTTACTGGTTGTTTTCCCTCTTTGTACGAGTAATCAATTCAGGGAGTTAGTGGGGAGGGTTGATGTTGTAAGACTTCAAGAGGCTAATGGCTTTAAAATGAGTCTTAACTGGTTTAATTCACCAACAGCTGTTGTGCTGGTTAAGAATCGAGCAGCGGGCCGGTCCGTCCGTCAGATCAGGAGGTGAAATTAGTTCTGCTGATTCCCATATTCCCTCCCAGAGAACCATCTGCTCCACTTCAATACAATAGAGGGATTTTCTGGAGGAATAAAATGCTTTGAACACAACAATTTCTCTCTCTCGCTCCGTCAGAGGGGTTTTGGTTAAGGTATCATATTTCCCCGCGGGGTCGACGCTCGGCAAATCCACCGCACATTTAACGAAGGGGTTTCTTTTGTCCGACGTGCGGATCAACTCATCGGGATTTAACAACACACAGGAGACAAACAGTTTAAAGCTCAATGAGATGCACGTGTAGAGAGGATTCAGATAAATGAAATAATAAATAATGTGTTCTATGGTTGAATGTGGTTTTAGACCTTTGCAGCAGGAGCCTGAGGGAAAATATGCATCTGAATATTTAATTTTTAATCAGATATTATTATTATTATTATTATTATTATTATTATTATTATTTATTGAACAAGTTATTATTTTCTTTCTTTCAGTAATTTTCACATTGACCATTTATTCTTGTTTTATTCTATTTAAACTTTTTTGACTTGTTTAATTATTTGGAAGATTTAATGGTTTGTTTTCTAGTAAATAATCTGTTGTCATAAAACATGTTATTAAAGAAAGTAAAAAAGGAAACTCTGCTGCACTGAAATCAAATGAGTTCCGAGGCCTCGTGAATAAATGATAAATACAGAACATAAACTTTACTTTGAAGCAAACGATTGAAGTTATATGTTGTAATTATTATATAAACTAATGTCCTGTTCGTTCTGGTTCTCACATAAAAAACATTAAAGTGTTTATCAAAGAGATGCACGAAGTTAATTTCTTCCAGTTTCTTGGATCTAAACCAGGAATGAACCTTTATCTCGCTGAAGCATGAGAACTGATGGACGGAGGCTCAGCTCTGATGTTAAACGATGTTCTGACTCATCAGTGAGAAGCGACGCTCGTTCAGAGGCAACATGCAAGGTGAACATAGGGGGGGGGGGGGCAGCACAAGCTCAAATGCCATTAGTCACAGATCTTATCGCTCGCCCTCAGGGACTTAATGTCCCGCACCGTCACGTCTCAGACCAAATCTTCTTTAGAAGTGTCTTTGTTCGTCTCTCCGCTCCGTCTCTCTGAAGTCCTCCCACTGCAGCTCATAACTGTCGCTGGTGTCACAACTGCACCTCGGTGACAACCTGCTTATTTCAAATGTAAAGTTCGGCCCCAGACACATCGTACAGAGTGAACACGCACTTTAAAGTACTCGGTCCATTTGTTGACTGTCAGAGGGGTCAAAGGTGAGAGCGAGATCTGACAAACAGCACTGAATGAAGGAGCATCACTCTGCTGACGCTCAAGAAACAAAGATATGTACTTGGTGCATTTGAACTAGTGGAGTACTGCAGTACTGTGGAGTACTGTAGTACTGTGGAGTACTGTAGTACTGTGGAGTAACTGTGGAGTACTGTAGTACTGTGGAGTACTGTAGTACTGTGGAGCAACTGTGGAGTACTGTAGTACTGTGGAGTACTGTAGTACTGTGGAGTACTGCGCCTGAAGGTGCTGATGCTGGTGGTGATACCGTAATGCTGTTACCATGGCAACCACATGAAGCTTCATTAGAGGAGTGGACATTAGAACCATGGGCGAGTGTTGTTCCGATGAATCGCTTCATTATTTTAAATCTCAGCTGTTGGAACGTTGTGTGAGATTTGACCCAGTGGTGGAAGAAGGAGGAAGAGGATGAGGAGGAAGAGGAGGAGGAGGAGGAGGAGGAGGAGGAGGAGGAAGAGGAGGAGGAAGAGGAGGAGGAGGAGGAGGAGGAGGAGGAGGAGGAAGAGGAGGAGGAAGAGGAGGAGGAGGAGGAGGAAGAGGAGGAAGAGGAGGAACAGACTCTGGATCTTTACCTGGCGTTCGATTGTGTCGTCTCCGTTCAGGTGCAAACGTGAAGTTGTGGAAAACTTCAAAAACAAAGTTCAGACTCTTGAAATGAAACAAACAAACAAACAAACAACCAGGACCAGCACCAGGACCAGCACCAGCACCAGGACCAGCACCAGCACCAGGCCTCAGGCTGTTGTTGGACTCCAGAACTTAAACTGTCCTGTGGAGCCGCTTCCCCATGGCTTTATAGTTTAAGCTCCGCCCACCGGACAAAACCACTGCTAATTGAACTCAATCAACCAGGAAATGAAATAATCACCAAACGTTTAAAGACAAACGTCTCCGTGCACATCACGTCATCGTTCATGATTTAAAAATGTGCTCTCACTTTATTTAGATTCCTACAAAAGCAGTTTGAGTAACCCCCCCCCTGTATTTATGCATTTGGGTGCTTCCACCTCTGGTTGGACGAGGAGCAGGAAACACCTGGAGCTCACCTGGAGGCTCCGCAGCGCCGAGCTGAGGGTTCCTCGTGTCCGTGTGTATTTTAAATCAATGAATCATTGAGTTCGTTCGTGTTTCTTCTTCTTCTTTGTTTCCTCGTGTTTGTATCGAAACGGTTCCGTTTGGCGGAAGAACGAAACAAACACAGAAGAAACGTGTTTCTGTTTCAGCTGCGACAAGAAGAAGGATTCCAGCTGAGGCCCAATCACAGGAGGAGACGAGCTGCTGACCAATCATGTCCCTGAGAACTTTCAAAGAGATGGCTCCAACTTCTGAGTGTGTGTGTGTGTGTGTGTGTGTGTGTGTGTGTNGGCCTGATGGGAAGAAAAGGACAAGGTCCAATTCCCAGAGAGTGAGTGTGTGTGTGTGTGTGTGTGTGTGTGTGTGTGTGTGTGTGTGTGTGTGTGTGTGTGTGTGTCTGTCTGGTATAAATCCTCCTGTCAGTGGAAACTCTCTCAGTTGAACTTTCAGAGTGAAACTGAGTTCACTTTGTTTTCTCATCATTTTATTTCTATTATCTTTATTTTATCTGAATTATCTTTGTTTTATCAGTTTTATCTTTATTTTATTAGTTTTATCTTTATTTTATTTGAATTATCTTTATTTCCCTTCGTGTTCCATCATCAGTAGAAACTCCTCCAGGATGTTTCCCTGCAGCGCTCTGCCGCCTCCTCTCTACCCGGGCTTACTGCCTCCTCCTGCGGGCTTCTCCTCTCCGCTGACCCGCTCCCTGCGCTCCGGCTTCCTGGTGGAGGATCTGCTGCGGCTGAGCCAGCCCGTGTCCTACCTGCACCGGAGCCTCTCCTCCAGGGGCCCCGGGGACGTCCTCCAGCTCAGTCCGCGGCCGGCCGCCTCACCCCGGGCGTCGGGGCCGAGCACCGAGCCTCAGCCCGGTCAGCAGAGCCGCAGCGGCCCCGGGTCCCCGCAGACCTCCTGCCCGGACTCAGGGTTCCTCAAGTTCGGCGTCAATGCGATTCTGGCCCCGTCCACACGGAGCGGTGAGTGTGAGCGAATCAGACCAACACCTGCTTTCAGTCATTCACATGAAGTGATGTCATTCTTTAATAATTCTAATAAAGTTTGTGAAAGTTTGAATAACAAAGTCAGTTCACTTCAAATATCAAGTATTTTAAACACATTAAAAGTATCATAATACTCAGTTAATGTAGAAATATACTGAATATGTTCAAACCCAGTAAATCAACTAATAAACGTTCTTTAAAATAAAAAATAAAATATCACCCACATGCTTTATCTCATTTATCTTTTGAAGCGACTCTCTGCAGAGGTGGTTTCTGTATTTATCTGATGTGATGACAATGATCGGTTGTATTAACTGTATATTTGTGTGTTTGTGTGTCTGCTCCAGTTCACAGCTTCCAGAAGTCGTTACCTTTCTTTGACGGAGGCCTTCATCCTTTCATCAGAGCCACTTATCTCACAGGTCGGTGGACTGAACTCACATTGACTCACATTCACCTCAGAGCATCACTTCACTCTCATGATGCACAAACAGGACGTCGACTGAAACTTCCCTCGGATCAACAAACACTAAAATAACTCTTCTTGATAATTTAAAAAGTTAAAGTTCATTAAAGTTCAGTCACTTGAAATATCAACAACTTGAGAGAAAATCCGATCAAACATTTTCTTTAGAATGAGATCGTCGCTACATGAACTATGACACTTCAAACTTTCTTTCTCCTTTGTCTCGTCCACAAAATCACGACGAGTAAATAAACAGATGAAAATAATAATAAAACCAAAAGATCACGTACAAATAAAATTTCCAGTTGATAATTTAATGGATAGAGAGAGGGATGGACAGATGGACGGACGGATGGATGGAAAGATAATTATTACAGCAGCAATAGGAACACGATGCAGATGAAGACACGGCATTCACACAATAAAACAATATAAACTTCCGTAAGCTTCAAAATAAAAAAAATGGATAAAAGAGGATTTAAGATTTCATGATGTGAAAATAATTCTGTGTTTGTTCAGTGTCATGTGACTGATAAACAGAGAAACAGAGGAAAAAAAAAAACCACTTTAAATAAATAAACGTTTCTGTCTCTTGGAAACTTTGGTTCAGAAGATTTCTCGGCTTCTGGACTCGAACACGTTTCACCGGCGTGCGCAGAAGTCTGCCGCTCTGTCGGCTGTTTGAAGACGTCCTCCGTCCTGCGGCATGGGGAAAAACCCCGGCCGGCCTGGAAACAGCTCTGCCGGTCTGAAGGCCTGTTTAGCTGCTGCACTGACTGCTGACATCAGCACCAGTTGTCCTAATCTACAAATTAGTCCGGTTTGTCACGCCTCAAATATATTAGTGCCGTTTGTCATGGTCTAAATGTGAGGCGGGTTTCTTCCCAGCTCAGGAGCCCGGCGCCTCTTCACGCGCCGTCGTTTTCCCACCAAGCCCCTCGGCCTGCCCACAAAGCTCCCAGCACCGTGACCAATGGGAGCCACACACACACACACACTCTCACACTCACACACTCTCTCACACACACACACACACACACTCAGTTAACAATGTCACTCACGGGATCGATTTCACAGGGTTGAACCTGGATTCCAGTTTATTCATTCCGCTGTGAGCTGAACTAATGAATCAATAATTCAAAACAGAATCAGTGTTTGTTTTGTTTTTTTCGATGTGGAGTAATCCGCCTCCGTCAGGTGTGTGTGTCTCTCACCCCCCCCCCGCGGACTCCACGTCGTACACTGACCCCTCTGTAATGGAGCGGCCTGTCGACGGCCTGTTCCACTCGAGTCATTACGACACAATCACCTTCCTGCGGCCCATTTGCAGCCGTTAACAATCCAGCTTCATGCTCCATTAGAGGCAGTGTGAGCCCAGAGCCGTCTTATTAGCATAGGCTCTGTTTCCAGCACAAATTGGGGCTTTTCAGATATCAACTTCCAGGCAGATCCAGTTTGTCGTGGGCCACGTCAGGGACTCAGAAACAGGAAGGACACGGAATAAAGTTCTGACCCCTTTTAAATACACGAGTTCAGAATTATCAGAGCGTTTTAATGAGTTTTTATATTTGCTGAATAAGTAAAGATGGACGGTTTCCTTTGCGTTCTCACCGAAAACACGCTCTCGACCAGTCGTGAGTCAGTCTCAGCCGCCAATCGTGACGTTTTTATATCATCGAAACCGAAATGATCAGAAACACGGACGCTAGAACATACGATCAAAAGTTCAAGATGGCCGCGACGCTCTGAAACATTCTGGCTTCATTTCTGGATGGTGGGAGGAGTTAGTTACCGTCCGTAATTAAAACCTTGTCTACGCTCATGAGTTAAATCCAGATGTTGCTGCGTATTAAATCTCTTCTCTCTCACGTTCTTATTCCTCCAGCCTCCTCCTCTGTGATCCCCGTCCCAGGGACCTTCTCATGGCCCCTGGCCCCCAGAGGGAAGCCCAGGAGAGGCATGCTGCGGCGGGCCGTGTTCTCCGACCTCCAGAGGAAGGCGCTGGAGAGAACCTTCCAGAAACAGAAATACATCAGCAAACCAGACAGGAAGAAGCTCGCCGGTAAACTGGGCCTGAAAGACTCGCAGGTAAACGTGATTTCATTCAGTCCAGTTCGGGATTTTTTTTTTGTGAACAGAGACGCTGATGCTTTCTCCGTCTCCGCCGCAGGTGAAGATCTGGTTTCAGAACCGCAGGATGAAATGGAGAAACTCGAAGGAGCGGGAGCTGCTGTCGACGGGCGGCTGCCGCCAGCAGACCCTCCCCACCAAGACCAACCCGCACCCGGACCTCACCGACGTCGGCAGCGCCACCTGCTGCCACCGGCTCGACAGGACGACACCCGACAGCCAGGAGTCACATCTGCACCACCACAGTCGTCATCATCATCATCATCTTCATCATCTTCATCATCATCACAGCCCCTCGTGTCCATCAGAGTCCAGCAAACAGTCGGAGCTCTCGGAGACGGACGGGGAAGAAATCCACGTTTCGTAAAGATTTTTATAAAAAAGAGAAACTGTGACTCAGCGGAAGCTTGTGAGTGGACGTCAAATCCAGATGTGCCTCGTCCACAGCTGTCGGTCCTCGGTGCCATATTTCTGTACAGTGTTTGTATCACATTTATATGTACCTCAGTGTATTTATATACAGTGAGGAAAGTATGCTGAGCTCTTCTAGATTTAATATTTGTAGATTTTAAATGTTCAACACTATCCTGTACAAACGTTTCGTTCCATACATATTTGTTTTCTTTATATTTTCTCAAATAAATCGTACAAACGTCTCGTGTCGTGATGAGTTCAAGTGTCAGACGAGTGTCGGAAACTCTGCACTCACTAAACGTCCTCTGATTCAGAGACGATGCTGGAGAGACAAGTTTGAATTGGACGACAGCTCACCAAGAGTCATAAACCCCGCCTCCTCCACGTTAACAGACTGGACATGAAAAGCTGCTTGGTCGAAAGTTCTAATGTTTTCAAGTCAGGACACTTTCCAGAAACCTTCAAGAGGTTCTGTATGTGAGAAAACAAATGTCTGTCGGTTGCTCTGGACATTTTCTGGATGTTTTCCTGCAGCCGCACACGTAGGAGACGAAGACGTCAACTTGGAAAGACGAGGAGATTCCAGAAAGAGCGTCTGTGTTCTTAATGTGAAGGTGAAACTCAAAACTCTCCAGTTAATGTTTGAGAACAGCCTGAGATGGTTTCTGTGGTTTTAGTTCTTCTAACACTGACGTTTGCTGTGAACCCACAGGAGAGAGAAAAATGAGACGCAGCTGTTCAATGTTCGTGCATCAATAAATAAAATGATGATCAAACTTGAAGGATTGTTAAAAAAAAAACAAGACTTTATTGCCGTTTTCCACTATGGATTATACAAGGGAAGCTGAGAGCAACAATGAAAGACGAGAATTAAATACAAAAACTGTTATTTATGTTTTTCTTCACTCAACATTCGGCTTCACAACCGGTGAAGAAACGAGGCCGACGCCCTCATCGTCATCGTCGTCATCAGAAAAAAAAAACAATGACTGAATTAAAACAGCAGCTTCGTTAATGCAAACTTTATTTACACGAGGAAATTAAAAACTGCCTTCATGCCATGCTCCTAAAACACAACAGAGGGAGGTTCCTTCAGATGGGTAAACATATACATGTTTGGTTGATGAGCTTTACAGTGACGGCCGTGTCGGCTCTACAGTCCTGTTCCATGTTAAATAACGCAGGGCGGGGGGGGTGTTAATGAGGACGTTACATACAGTATTTACAGACAAACGTCAACCAACAGCACGGTCCGACACGCGACTGAGACACTGTACACGGCTCTGCTGCGTCTTCCTGAACGAAGCAGCGCGGCTTGTCGTTAGAAGAGGCTGATTCCCGACGCACCAGTAAAAGTCCGCAGGTTTTAAAACCAGACCAAACGCCGCGGTCGATCCCGGAGGAAAATCTTTTTTTCCTCTGAAGGGAGGAAAACCTTAAACCGCCGACTTTACACGATCGCTTTACTAGAAGGCCACGAAATGTTTTTCAGAAATAAACTGGACCGGTCTCCCGACAAAGAATTTCCCTCGACATCGACGAACAGCGGAGGCTTTAAAACCTGCTCAGTTCTAGACCCTGATGTTCAGACGCCTTGTTGCTGTATAAATAACGTTAACTCTAAAAAAAAAAAATCAGACACTTGTTTTGATTTCAAATTAAGTGCTGGAGCCTCGAGCCCGTTTTCACTATGTGCTGTTTTGTAAGAGTCAGTTTTGTTGTCGTACAAGTCATTTGGAAATTTCACTTCACCGACACAAACAAAAGGAAACATGACTTTTTCTACGACATGATTCCGAACCTCTGCATGACGAGGACTTCAGCTGAAATCACCATGAGTGCATGAGTGTTCAGGGTTCGGCCACAAGGGGGCGGCCCCGTGCTGCATTTACACAGCCACAAGTCTGACATCTGCGTCCAAACTCAGCAGCAAAGTGCGTCACGTTAAACAGGAAGAAGGAACGTAGAAGATAGAACGTCCTTCTTCTGTACAGTTGTTGTTTTTTTTACCTGTTACCACAAGTGAAGCGGTTCATTAACAGTTAAGTGGTTAACGACCTTTTATATATGTACAAACACACTGTGTCGTGATATTAAAGGGGGGGGGGGGTTAAGTTCACTATGTGGTGGTTTTAAGTGTCGACAGGAGAGAGAGAGAGAGAGGAAGGTGAAGGACGAGACTCAGTCCTGATGGTTAACGGCTAAAAAATAACTTGACGATAAATAAAACACTTTAATACATTTGAATTGCAGCTAAAACATGTGGATAGTTTTCTGAAGTGTGTGTGTGTGTGTGTGTGTGTGTGTGTGTGGAGGCTAGAAATCCCACAATCAGATGAGGGTGCGTTTGATTTGTAATGACATACAGGCACAGTGGGTGGAGACAGGATCAAATTGGAGGATGCGTTTGTTTATGGTTCCAGGTTTCTGGGGCGGTTTTTCTACC